AAAAAAAAAAAAAAAAAAAATTCAAATAAGTAATACAAAATAGTTTAATCATTCATCGCACTTTAATTTATAACGATATCATAAAGCTGAAAGCATTATCAAATTTTATAAAAAAAAAAAGTGCAACTATGCAGATATGTGAAAAATTATCAAAAAAAAAAAAACCAACTTACTTTTTTTCTTGGTCTCGGTAGTCTTTTGTTTTGGCATCAGTTGTCTTCGGAACATTTTTTGTGTATACCTTCTTTCAAATAAAGCGTTAATTCAAGGTGACAATCAGAAGTGAAGTCAATGTTCAATCAAAGTAGCTGACTGTTACGAGTCTTTGGATTTAACTGCTGAAAAAATAATAATAATAATAATAATAGAAAAAAAAAAAACGAGAATAGAAAACGGATAAAGCAACAGAAAATTACTATTGATTTTTTGTTTCATTCTTTTTAAGTTCAATTCTTTTTTAGTTTTCTCGACTTTGTTATCAACGAAAAGAAAAATTTAGTCAAGCATAACGAAGAGGAGGAAAAAAAAAGAATTTCTTTTGTTACATGCAAAATAGCTTAAAATTTTTTCTATCTCATTTTTTTTTTTTCTTCTTGCCCTTTCAGTTCAGTTAGCACGGCTTAGCCAACACCAAGCAACAGGTTTTACTTTGTCGACAATGGACTGCCGTGTATAAGAAAAAGTTTTTTTTTTTATACATATAAACTGATACACACCAATACGCACACTCTCAGACATACATTTGATACACAAAAAGTCGAAAACTGATCAATTTATAGCTGTGCTGTTGTTTTTTTTTTTTATTTTTTTATCTTTCTTTTTTCTTTTCTTTTCTTTTCTTTTTTTTTTTGTTTTTGTTTTGCAGATAATAAAACAGTTTCTCATTGATTGTTACCGAAAGAAACCTTAGAAAACAGTCTGATAATTTGAATTATCATTTTAAGCAGCAGTTTAGCAACAACTATAATCTCCCGGTAATTATCCACCTACCCATTATTAAATCGACATTGTTCTTCAATTTAGGCGCTCTATTCGGTACAACAAATAATACATTTTACGCTAAATCATTGAAAAAAAAATTTTTTTTTTTTTTGAAAGCAAGAAGATTTAACTAATCAAACAGAAAAAAAAGCTAATTTTTATCTAAAAAAAAAGACTTTATTAAAAGCTCTATGATAAACATGTAATTTGGAGAAGGGGAGCTAATTCAGTGAAATGAGAAATGAATTTGTAGCAGCTGAATTAACGTTATGCGAAAAAAAAAATACATACATTCCCTCTTTGTCCAAAAAAAAAAACCCATGTTCTTTTTTTTTTTTCATATTTTTGAAATGAAAGTATAACAACTCGACATTCATAGATTACAATATCATTTACCAATAATAATGTGATAACAAACAGTAAATTTAAAAAGAACAAAAAAAAACAAGACAAAAAAAAAAAGAAAAGCAAGCAAATGAATTTTGAACATCTGCTTAACCCCAGTCTTCAGAAGTACACCATTAACATCTAAATTTCTTAACGTCGACGACGACGACGACGACGACAACATCGATGACGACAATATGTGAACAGCAAACAGCAAAGAGCAGAAACAGCAACAGCAACTAAAATTATCACTAAAAATATTGAATTGGAAAAAAAACCAATTTTTTTTCCCTTGCTGATTTCAAAGCATCTTTTACAGGTGGAAGAAAAAAGCATATATCTGGAAAAAAAACCCAAGGTATACTAAAAAGAACAATTGTAAGGGAATAACGATTGGTGTGCAGAAGAGGAAAAAAAAAAGAAATTGGAATGAACTATATTCACATAAATGTTTATTTTTCTACTAATCCTATCATTTTCTTTTCTATATATTTTTCATTTCAAAAAAATTTCGTCTTCTTCTTTTTTTTTTTCCGCTGAAGAAATAAATTCTAAGCTTATTTAAACGTTGAAAGGCAAAACACAAAAAAAAAATTGCAGAAAAGACAGAATTAAAGAAATTTTAGGTAACAGAATAAATTTGGGTTACTGATATATACAGTTTTTTTTTTTGGCTTCATAAAGATGACAACGACATTAAAGCTAATAGGGCCATATACTGATCCAGTTTAAGCAACAATCGACTAACTAACAAGTTGACTAGCTCACTAACTAACTAAATGACTAACCAACCAACTGAATAGACAAA